GTGCAATGCAATGCCCTATTTTTTTTTTTTTTTTACAAACCGAAGATACATGTCTAAATTCTTTGTTGTGATAATCAATATTACACTGGAAATTCAGTCAACAGAGCTTAAACCAGGAATAATCTTTAAAGTTGCGATGAAACAAGTAGCGACAGATCTTTTCTTCCGAAATGCGATGGCCATCCAAGTAAAGCGGATTATCAACAAACTAAAAGTATGGGTGGGACTAAATTCAATCCATCGGTTGTTGATTGGATTTTGAGATGTGGGCATTACACTCAAAAATGAATGTGAGCTTGCAGTGGATTGTGGAGGGGCAGGCTTTAAGCAGACTAAATGCGTGGAGAAGTACGGCATACTTCACCAGAGAGAAGTATGTTGTTTTGTAAATTAATTGTTTCTTTCTCTCTTACATTTACCATTAGACTGAATGTTTGGTCCAGTTAAGAGGTCTGGTAGCAGTTAATGCTAGTAATCTCAACCAAGCATAAAACACATCAATGGGGATATATATATATGTATATATATTTTTTAGTGGTCAAAGTCCAGTGAGCAATTAATTAGTGCTCCCTGTGTTGTTGAAACAGCACTATTGCAAGCAACACACTGAGATATTCCTGTTTGCTTTTATGATATTGTGAAACTAGACTGTGACATTTTAACCAAGTCAGGTTACCTTTTGCTTTTTAAGTTAACCAGTGCTGAGAGAAAAGCACATAGTGTGATGGAAATATTTGAGTCTTTCAAGTAATAGCGGCGTCACTGATTTACACTCTACAAAAGCAGGTTATGTTATGACCCAAGCCATACCCAGCACAATTACTTTAACCGTAACCAATACCATACCAAGACTGACAATACTAAGTAATATTGCCCTGGGTTGACTCATGAAAAAACTATAAAAAGGTTAAGATAATCGTGTCTAAAAAAAAAGTGTTGGTTAAAATCAATGGAGAATATCTCATATTTTTCTGTGGGTGCTCGACCATTTCCGTGGGTGCTAAATTAGCACCTATGATGCGTGTCTTAGCTCAAAATGCACATAAATCAGTAAATGGACATCCTTTAGTTAAAATGTTGCATAACTGCAGATGCCATCCCCATCCTCTCAGCTCTAAAAATACAACAGAGCATAGCAATTACAGATTAAAGGCATGATGGCCCATCTTCACATGCCCTTTGTGTGTCTGCCGAGAACACCCACACTGTCTGACGCATAGAGCCGCTTCACGCTCCTACCAAAGACGAAGCTGAACACGAGGAAGGAGAAAAGGTGGATGGGACAGTGAGAGAATGAGACAGAAAGGCTGGTGGACATAAAGGACATAAAAATCTTGTCAGGGAACCACAGGTATATGAATAGCTGCATTGGAAGAGCATATAGGGAAAAAAACAAACGTGATCTACTCTACAAAGTCAACATCAATGACAACCTTTACATGCACATCTAAATTCTGGTTAAGCCTTTATTTAGAGAAAATAATGAAGATGTTTATTTGCTCCATTACATTCTTCTACCGTTCTAATGTGACAAATGCTGGCTTTGGGAATTTATTATGCAGCAGTGAGATGGTCTTCAGTGTCCTTTCTCACTCTTTCTCTCTGACTCCCTCTGACTTATTATGCTGCCATTGGCATCTTATACTTGTACCATTGACAAGTTACAGCCTTGTCAGCAAACTCTTAAACTGATATATGTCAGCTTTTTCTAATTCTTTATTTCTATACATGAAAAAAAGCGGTGTGTAAAAGCGACTTGCTTCAATAAAAGCAACTATCATAAAAGTTAGTTCATCAATTCTATATCATCTATATCACAAAGAATGAACTCAAATAACAAGTCGGTGTTGACACTCTATCTGCCATGAAACTCTTATTCAAAGACTCTATGTTCAAAATTCATCCAGAGGTGAGAGAAACAAGCTTTTAAGAGGGTAAAGAACCGAGAAGGGTGTTTAATGAGTTCTGTCTCCAGCGCATTATTAGAAAAGGGCAGCCACTCTCGGCAGCCCGGCTCCGCTGGCCTCCATCTCTGTCATTACATGACTAATTGTGTGCAGAAAAGGACGGCACACATGCTCACACCAGCATCAAAGGAGGCAAAACCTACAATTTCATCCAAACAAACAGAGAGTGTGGAGGCTTTCTCTCAGTGCCTTTTCACCATCTCGCACAGTGTGAAAGACAAAGTGCTGGTTGCGTCGAAAGCAAACCACTGATGGATGTATATTTAAATGTGTCCCCTTCTCGAAACGCATTGATGGGATCTTTGCAAAGACTGCATATAGATCATGAAGTGATGGCAGGCAGAGGATGTACACTAAGTTGCATTAAGTGGTTGCAGGAACACAAGCAAGACATTATGAATTATTAATGTGAGGCTTTGTGAAAAACAGTCATGGGGTTAGACTTAAAACATTTCAGCACAGAGTGATTCTTGGACATTAGACAGGGTTCAGGGCAATACTGACAAGGACAGATGCTAAGCATCGAAAGAAAGAACACACACCCTGGTGGATACGAGGTGAAACTACAATGCAAAGAAAGATAGACTGAATTCTAGCCCAGATGTCAACAACAAATCAACTGTGCTGTTGCATATTTAAAAGAATTTTCAGGTTCAAAATTATTCCTGTTTATCAACAGGAATAATGTTGATTATTAATTTCTTTTTTCCATTATGTAATTATTTGTTAAACTAATACAGAGTGAAAGTGAAGTGAAAGTGACATGTGAAGGCCAAGTATGGTATCCCATACTCGGAATTTGACCTCTGCATTTAACCCATCCAGTTAGTGCACAAACATTAGGAGTAGTGAATAGTGAACACACACATTGCAAACCATGACACCCGGAGCATTGGGATGCCATTATGCTGTGGCACCGGGAGAGCGATTAGGGGTTAGGCACCCAAGTCATTACTAGAATCGAACCAGCAACCTTTGGGTTACTAGTCAGACTCGCTAACTGTTAGTCCATGACTGCCCAGTGTTTTAAAATGTAACTTATTCAGGCAAAGCTAATGTGTTCAATACTGTAACAGTGTTACAGTATTGCAAAAATGACACGGTCAGTTACAGTATTGTAAATGGAGGGTTTAAAAGAAAACATGTATTTTTCATAAAGCACTTACATTAATTATTCAGTAAAGTCCTCTTTATAATTTGAGTTTAATCAATATGTTTTCTAAATTGTCCATTACCGTTGGGACTACTTCTCAAGGTGGATGAACCTCTGGTTATGTGCTACTGAAGTGGATGGAGTTTGCTGATGTAAACAGTGATTTAAAGACTCTACACAGTATGTCACATCTATTTATAGTATCATTGCGTGTTTTTTGATAAAGTTACTTACTGGGGCTACATCAGCATAAGTCGTATAGCTTTAATTTTAAAATAATTACATATTTATATTTAATTTTAAATCACAATAACCAAAATATACTTTTTTTGTCAAAATCATTTTCTGTACTTGAAATGCCACTGTCAATTGAGTTTAAACTGTACTGAACAGTTAGACTTTAAGGCCAATGTCTAAAACAAAACAATGAAATCTTTAACTGTTCACAGACACGTACAAATTCATTTGACATATAAACAGACCTCTGAGACCATTTTTAATTTTTAACTGTTTTTCTGTGTATATGCGACCCACATACAGAGTTCATAATAATAAACGACTCAATTTATATCTAGAACATTTATAGAACAACAAAAAAAGCTTGAGCGTGGTTAACTGAAAGGTGAGCTGTCAGGAAGTGGTTTTAAACTGTCATTTCTATAGATATCTCACTCAGCTCAAAATTACCAAAGATGTGTCTCAAGTCATACAAAGGAATGATTTTTTATATAGGCTATACAGTAACAGCATCATTAACAAAACAATTAGCCGGACTGTGCACAGAGGCCATTTGGAAAAAAAAAAAAACATCTTTGTATTTGTCCTGGACATCTGAACTACAGAACACTGAGCTTAACAATAAGCTTTTGCACTGTTAGTACTTCTGACAAATTTTCATAAGAGATAACCTCTCATCAGAGATTGTGGTTGAAAAAATGTGTCAGACAACTGGGCTGCTGCTCAAGTTTAACTTAAAGGTTACAGAACAATGTGGGTGATAACCTTTAAACCAGACTCGTGTTTACTAAATACAGTCGGTTTAGAAATGATATCTCTCCTGTGTGGTAGGACGAGAAACCAGACAACAAAACATTTAACACAGGCCTACACAAAACTTTACAAGAATTACAGTTTAGCAGCCACAAAGGACTTTTCGTGATTCGTGATTAAGCAAAACAAACAAAAGAAACATAAATGGTAGCCTATTAAGATTACAATTCATGCTGTATAGGTTTATTTAAGCCCTTGTTATTTGACTGAATCATTACTATGAATTCAAAAGACATCATACTTAAAGATATTTCTGCAGTTACACTGCTGAACTTAGTTTTATTTTGTTCCAGATATTTAGACCTCAAATGGCAGCATGTGTTTAGGAACCGAAGATATTGTGTTTTGTCATTTTATCTTTTGCAAGAGGTAAACTATCAGCCCGCATGCATGATTTGTCAATATCCTGTTTGGGTTTAAGTGCAAGGTCTTGAATTGAAACCAATGCTCGGACAATATAGGCTACTGCATAAAGGCCCACCGGATGTAATCTTCCCATGCAGTCTTAAATTACACATAAATATCAACATATTCTCATTAGATTCAGACAATGGAACACCTAATACACATAATAAACGTTTGAAAATTTTGAAAAATAAAGAAACAAATAAAAATCAATATAACAAAGTAAATAACAAAACAATAATATCATATTATGATAGCATATCAATAATATAAAATATTCCTTCTAAAAACAGGTCAATCAATTAAGTTAACCAAACATCACTGAGAAGGGTACAGCTACTGCACCAGCACATATGATGGCTACAATAAGACATTGATTATAATAATCAATTAAACAATAATAATAATAATAAAGATCATCCTACCTGAGCATGCTGAGCGGAGCCTGGTCAATATTCTGGATTTAAAAGCAGAAGTGTCACTTAAAGAACGAACTCGAAATACAGGAAACACCTGAGGAAATGTCTTTAGGTATGAAAAACTGTCTTGCTCCGCCATTATACAGTTTTGTTTGTATTTTTATTTCTAGAAAAGTTAAATTCGTTTCAGTATCCTGTAATCTCGTTGTCAAGGTAACACTGCTAAATCTGATGCTGAATTCTGTTTGAAGAGTTACCCGTCTGTCAGTCGGTTGTAATTGGGAACTCTGTTCACCTGTTTTAAGGGAACTTAACTTTTTAAAACACGAAGTCGACTACTTCTCTCTGAGTCTCATGAAATGTTCCTCTGCAAATAATCCTCTGCGTTACACCAGCAAATGAGACAGAAACGGAAACACCTCCATCAAATAGATAATCATCTACACAGACGGTGGAAGACTGAGGTCACGCAGCGCCTTAAAGCTGCAGTTCCGAATCATTCCTCTGGGAGGCGTTTTGGACTTAATACGGATGTATTCAAATACAAAAACATGTAGCATACTTAAGGTGCTTAAAAGGATAGTTCACCCCAAAATGAAAATTCTGTCATCATTTACCCATATATCGTTCCAAACATATAATGAGTTTCTTTCTTCTGTTGAACACAAACAAATACTGGGATCCATCAACTGTCTGGTTACCAACATTCGTTAAAATATCTTCTTTTGTGTTCAACAGAAGAAAGAAACTCATACAGTGTTGGCACAACATGAGGGTGAGAAAAGTATGACAAATTTTAACATTTTTGGTTGAACTAACCCTTTAAATAGGCCTAATACAAACACATAAGGGGATCATCTTCAAATTAGACATTTAAATAAAATGACATAATAGTAGCTATTTTTTGTTGCACATATGTTTTAAACATTTCATTGAAGTATCTTCATTTATGTATATAGGCCAAAATCATACTATTAAAAATGACCTTTTCTTCTGTTGTGACATAGGAAGTTATTTAGGCAATTGCATATAAGGGGTTCAAAGAATATGACTCACCCTGTTTCCTGTTTTTCATCTTATGAACACCACCTCCATATCATAGTGTTCTCGCACCGACCATTCTGACATCACGTTTTAGGTAAATATGGCAGTGTGTGGTCATATCTGACTGAGCTGTTTATCAACACACAGAAGCCGGTTTGAAGCTGAACATTGGGGAAATCTGTGTGTCCCAATACTGTGTTAATGTGTAACTAGGGGACTGGTCATCATGCAATATATGTTATTTAAATACTGGGTAGACCCTCAGTCCACCAGCTCTAGAATCAGCAAAGCATCTGAAGGTAAACAGGAGCTGTCTTTTATCCCTTTCACACTTTATGACTGATTATCTCTGTCTTTGTAGAGTTGTCATTAAACGATCCTGATAAGACTTTTTGCTTAGCTGAATTATGCTTGACAGGGATGACTGATCCCAACTTTACTGCATCTAATTTGTGCACTGGGATTTTGGACTGTAAAATTCAGCATTCATTTTCATGCTTTATTTAAAAATATTTCATTTTGATGAAATTAATACATGTAAATGTACAATGTAAAAGTAAATAAACTATTTTACTTATTTAATTGTAATTGTAACGGTTTTCTATTTGACTATATTTTAAAATACTTTCATCCTGTGATGGCGAAGCTGAATTTTTAACATTATTACTCCAGTCTTCAGTGTCATGATCCTTCTGAAATCAATCTAATATGCTGATTTGCTGCCCAAGAAATATTCCATATTATTATTAATGTTGAAAATACTTGTGCTGCTTAATTTTTTTTTTTTGTGTAAACCAGGATTCTTTGATGAATAGAAAGTTCAAAATAACAGTATTTGTTTAAAATGGAAACCTTTTGTGTTGGCTATTATATGCATTAGGCTGCGTTTTGATATTTTGAGTCACCTGATCAATTTAATCAATCTTTGCTGAATAAAAGTTTTATTTTCTTTAAAAATATTTTAATAATCTTAAAAATTCATATACTTGTACATTTTATCTTCATACTGCATCAACATAATTATTATCTAAAAAAAAAAGTTTTACCCTGAGATGAAGCTGGACTGGAATGTACTCATTTCATTCGTTGCTCCTTTATCTGAGTCATGTGTTTTCTGCTCTCTAGTTCAGTAGGGTTATTGGCCTCAAATCCAGCTCAGCACAGCTGCTGTAAGACAGAAACTGGTCAATTAATTCTGTGAAAATGGGGGTGGAAGAGCAAAGATCGATCAGCCATAGCAGAAAACCCACTGTTGGTTCTGAAATGCAAAAAAACAAAAAACAAAACTGTTGATATGTCTACTGTGATTTAATGTAATGTGCAGTATGTTTTGTTAGTATTCTAATGCAATAACAAGTCCATTTCATAATCAAATCAGTTTTTTAATCCCGCAGGTCCACATCGAGGATTTCCCAGCAAGATGTTCCTCACTATTTTAATAGTCTCCTGCTTTGCAATGGGAACGGCCAATCGAGTGTATGTCCACCCCTTCAACCTCTTTAGCTCTGAAAACATCAGCTGTGAGGTTATCCAGAATGAGCAACACAAGCCCTTGGAGACCGTCCATCCACTGACTCCTCTTCAAGACAGCACTGAGCCAGACCCACGACCTGGCAGCACCACAGAAAACCTGAAAAACCTCACTCAACGAACGGCTGTGTTAGCAGAGTTGCAGAATTATCTCGGGTTACGCATGTACCAGGCACTTAGTCGTACACAGAAGCATGCAAACACACTGCTTTCACCCCTGAACGCCTTTGGTGCTTTGGTGACCCTCTACCTGGGAGCATCCAAAAAGACTGCCATTTCTTACCAACAGCTGTTAGGACTCAACCTGGAGTCTGAAAAGGCAGACTGTGCGTACTTCATTGACGGACACACAGTGTTGCGGACACTCCAGGCCATCAGCGCGCATGTAGACGAATCCCGAAATGAGCTCAGGACCCTCGTGTGGACTTTCATTACCAGCGATGCTGATCTTTCCAAAGACTTTTTACGCGGAACACAAGACTTCTCAGACGACTCTTTCGTCCGAGCAGTGGACTTCTCACAGTCCAAGGACGCCGAGGAGCAGGTGAACAACTTCATTCAGAAAACATCAGACAGCAAGGTTAAGAACCTGTTTAAGGGTGTTACTGCAAAAACTGACCTGCTGTTTGCTAGTTCGGTGCATTTCAAAGGTGAGTGGCTGGGATGTTATTCATTCAGAAATAGCCAGTCAACCAGACCCAATACAATTAGCCTCATTCAATTACATCTCATGTATATTCTAAATATATAAACTTCATTAAGAATCTTGAAAGACTTTTAGAGAATTTGGATCTTTGGTACTGAAGCCCGAAAGGGCAAGGTGGATTTTGAGTCACATCTTTCTCGCATTATTTTTTTTTTCTTGGCTGTGTAACAACAAAACTGTAGGGCAAAAAAAAAAAAAAAGTCTCAATGATTTTTCAAATTTTCTTCCTTTTTGCCTATATATTCTAAGGTGAAAACAGTGCTGAAATGCCCCCAATTGGCAAACATTTACATTGCATGTTTTTTTTTCCAAAGTTGTTTTTTAATACTTCTTTCATCTCGAGTATGTGTGGGAAAACGCATATATATATATATATTCTACTGTTGAACGCAACAGAAAGAAAGTATAAATTATAAATTAAATAAAATTAACAAATTATTGCCCGTATTTGTTGTTACAGGTAACAGAAAAAAAAATTATGTATAACAAAATAAAATAATTGCCGTTTTGTTGTTACATGCAACAACAAAAAAATATGTAAGAAATAGACTCATTGAAGCATTTTAAATATATATATATACAATAAAATTAATTAATAAAAATCTCCTGCTGTAGGTTGGGTTTTCACAGGTAGTGTTTTGAAATCTGTAACCTTTTTCCAGGTAACTGGAAAACTGCATTCCAACCTGAAGCGACCACTGATCAGGAATTCTGGACTCATGAGAATTCCAGTGTCAAAGTGCCCTTTATGATGCATACTGGAGACTACATGTTCCTCAATGATACTGTCAGGCAGTGTTCAGTAGTCAAACTTGGTCTCAGTAAGAGAACCTATATGCTGCTAGCGCTGCCTCATGAGGGAGCCAGCCTGCAGCACATCGAGAAGCAGCTCTTAACAGTCATACCTAAATGGCATCGACATCTAAAAGAAAAGTGAGTGACTGTTTGGTCAGAGAAAGTGCACACCGATGAAAGTAAATTAAATGACTTTAAAGACAAAGACAGATTTACCTATTTGTGCTATCATATCTCTTGGCAGATATCTGGAACTAACTTTGCCCAAATTCTCCTTGACTGCTGTGACTGACCTGAGATCAGTACTATCTGAAATGGCAGTGGAGAAATACCTCATGGGCTCTGACGCCAATTTCAGAAGACTGAGCAGCAAGGAGAACTTCACTGTTGACAAGGTAAAGTTCTGTTTAGAGCAAGAGTCTGCACCAGCTGAAATCAAATAGAACCAATAGGATGTGACCTTAACAAGATTTACAAGACCAGCTGTTACACTTACAAATAACTTCTGCCTTTTTAACCTACATTGTCAGCATGTTTCCTTTCAATTACTGAAAACCAAATTCCAACAGTAATCTGTAGGCTATGTGTCTCCTTCCATATCACAGGTTCTCAACAAAGTTGTGTTTGAGATGGCAGAGGGAGGATCAGAGGTTCAGAACAGAACTCAAGATGGAAGGGATCCCCACAAAGTCATGGTCAACCAGCCATTCTTCTTTGCTATTGTAGAGGGAAACTCTAATGCCATACTCATGCTCGGCAAAATTATCAATCCAACAACCTAAAGTTCAGTTTTGGTGACTGTATATGACAATATAAAAAGTGTTTTAATGCTTCCACTCAACTAGTAACTGTATTTTAAAATAATAGATAGCATCAAGTCAAGGTCAACCAGAAATATATTTTCTTAGAAAATCTGAATTAAACTAGTCTTTTAGGGATGTTCAAGAAGTTTTATATTTTAGTGTCTGCTAATTCCAAATGTTTAATAAAGAGTTTTTTGCTATGCATAACATAGTAACTTGTATTAATTGAAATTGTTTTAATGATGTATTCGTAATATGAAATATGAACTAACTACATGTATGCAATGTTAAAACAAAATTAAATTTAAATCTTTAAAGGAAAAAAACATTTGGAGAAATGAATTAACCAAAAATACAAAATGATTCAAGAATCCTGTCAATAAAAGCAATTGTACATTATGAAATATGTAATATCAATGACCCACATATACTGTAGTTCAGCCAGTAAGTAGTGGATCAGTTAAACACATGAGCAATAAACAAATGCTATTAAAAAAAACCTAAAAATTTAGTTACTGTATCTAAAACACGCACTACATATAGAGCGTCAACACACACTTCTAGTCTCTGACCTTTCGTAAATGTTTGACAAGGCCATTTGAGTAACAAATTAACTCTGGACACACACAAGCACTCATTTATAGCTCATACTATCCTCATTTTTTTTTTGTTAAAGCCTTTCTTACCCAGTGAAACACAAACTCCAACACCCACTTGATTTTTTTTTTCTTTTAAATAAGGAAAACGGTATTAAACCTCTTTAGCGTTTGCACTGTTGATGCTATTTGGCAGGGTTCACCAAAGCTAATGTCTGAGGAGTACAATTTCTGACAGATACAACTCAAGCCAAACACCTGCGTCAAGAGCAATTCTTTGTTGTAACCACATATGACAAGACATTATAGCACATTATGAGTGCTGATTGGTTCATACAACAAACTCTATTCATTTTGAACCATAAATGACATGACTTTCCTGGCCATATTATCCAATTTAGTTCAACAATAAATAACTTATCAGAGAGTGAATCATCTTTTAGTGTGCTCCTTCTCCTGACAGGTCGAGATAGCTGCTATTAGAACGGTTGAGGGATTGCAGGACTCCATAAAACCATTCCTGGAGCAGATACTGAGCCATGTGTTCTGAAGGAACCATTTTGGACCGTACTTTTGATCTGGCCCCTCCAGAGCCATTGTGGTTTAGGCCCCCGTCTGTTCCGTTGAGGCGAGATCTCTTGCCTCCTGTACCAGTTCCAGCAGAGACGAGAACATGGTGATGTCACTTGGCTGAAGACCCATCTTCTGAATCTTGGGGGAGAAGTAAAAGTATAAGTAGTGTTGTCACGATACTAGATACCTTGAAAAATATCGATATTCGATACCACAGAGAAAAAAACTGCCACAATATTAAGGGGGGATTTTTTTTATTTAAAGCTAAATATAACAAGTCTAGAACATGACAATGAGGTATATTTTACATGAACAAAAATGTCCCTGAGTTCTATTTGTTAAATTTGTTAAATTTGAACAGAGCTAACATGATCCGTTGTATTTTTATTACCTACTGTTATCAAAGATTAAATATACTGTAACAAAAAAGCAGTTAACAGTATCAAATTGGAGGATAGAGTGTCAGTAATGTATAATAATAAGATTAAACATTCAATTTTCAGTTAAAGGCATTTCATTATTGAATTCAGAGATGCCACTGTCTAGCTGTTTAGTTTAATTTGTATCTGTGTAATCAAATTGATGATAATCGCTAATGAAGGCAAATTGCAGAATTAAATAATAATTTTTAATAAAGTTAAATAGGCACAAGTTAATTTACATTTGACCACAGTTACAATATTTACTTGTCTAAGATTTCTCAGTCAGATTATGTTAACTTTAAGAAAACGGTGAAAAAACAAGACAACACAGACTCATATCAACAACAATACTAGGCCATCTTGGTTAATGTTTCAGAAAAGTTAAAATGAGAAGAGTTACAGTGTTTCTTTTAGGATTTTTTTAGCAGTGGGGGCAGGTCTGTCCAAACAACAAACACCCCTGATGCTGAGCATATATGCTGCTAAATGGTACCCCTGGAGCCTGTTCCTTAAGTCTGTTTTCACCTATAAAATAATTTTTTAAAAAGAGTGATGTTAGGGATTATTGATAGTCAAACAATCTTTTGGGTGCCCGCAGCCAGCTCACAGCGTGAAGCGCGTGTCCGCGCTATTCTCCGACATGCCCACTCGCGGTGTTCTTTATCAATCAACCAAAGCCGGTTGCGGGGCCGCCGCCCTCGCCATCTTTCCATTCACTTCACTTTTGCTATTTAACCAGAGCGAATGAGACGAGTGCGCCACGTGTGGTGTTTGTCAACGCGCCTTTGGAGAGAAGTGAAAATTACCACTCGGCTAGTATCGATACTTCGGGAAATTAGTATTGGTACCGTTCAGATATTTCAGTATCGATATTTATCGAAATATCGATATTTTTGACAACACTAAGTATAAGTACAAACTTTACAAACCTTTTATATCAACCTCTTGATATAAAAGGAAAGCTAATCACTCATCAAGAACTATACCTGTTCTCCGAGATACTCCACATCCAGTGCCAGCTGCAGGCGGATCTTACTGTCATCTGACGGTCCTGCATTGATGCCTATGGTGCTGGTGGTGGCTGTTTTCCGAGCCTGTTTCAACCTCTTTAGACTTTCCTCCATCTTCCTCACTGAACTCAGCACGTCCGATATAGTTTCGAAATATCTATTAAATACAGAGGTCCTTTTAAGCAAAAATATCTTCTATATAGATTTTGCCAAAACTAATAAACTTGTTAGCCTAGACATTCATGATTAATAAAAGTATGGCTCTGGAATACCTATGAGTGCAGTCTGAGAGTGTGACCCGAAGCCACTCCTGGATGATGGAGTCTTTCACCACATTTTTGGAGTCGGTGACCAGCTGATGGAGTGGCCGAAGTGCGTTGTCCATATAGGCTGAGGCTCTGGTGGGAACTTCCTATTAATGAGAGAGAAACAAAAGTTCAGGCCAGAGCACTGAACACATTCCTGTTTGCATGTAGAGGAAAATGTAAAATAGCAAAGCTTACATTTTTTTGAAGGGTCACCCAAAAATGAAAATTCTGTCATCATTATCTCACCCTTATGTTGCTCCAAACCTGTATGAGTTTCGTTCTTCTGTTGAACACAAAAGAAGATATTTTGAAGAATGTTGGTAACCAGATAGTTGATGGTAGCCATTGACATCCATAGTAGAAAAAAAAAAAAACTATGGTTGTCAATGGTTACCATCAACATTGTCATCTGGTTACCAACATTCTTCAAAATATCTTCTTTTGTGTTCAACAGAAGAAAGAAACTCATAAAGGTTTGGAACAACATAAGGGTGAGATAATGATGACAGAATTTTCATTTTTGGGCGAACTGTCCCTTTAAAGTATGTAACCGAAGTAGCTACAGACTTTTTCTTCTATATTGTGACATACATTCAAGTGAAAAATTATTGAAAGAAAAAAAATTTAGGGCAGGACTTCTATCCATCTGTTGTTGATTGGATAATAAAAAAATAAAAAAAATTGGATGGAGGCAGATCTGAATGCAAGCTTGCTGTCAATTCTTAGAAAAGGGCGGGGTTGAAGCGAACTAATTGATTGGAGTCTGGCATACATCAATAGGATGCATTTAGAAAATAAAAAGTGTCGATGTACACAGTTTATTAGGGTGATGGCTAAAAAATATTCTGTTTATAATAAATAGAGTCAGCAAATAGAGAAATATATTATTTAACTAAGTAAGTATTTTATGGGAAAAAGTCAACCAAATCATTTATTAACATTAAATCAATCCAAATGTGCTTTTTTTCTTTCAAGCCTGTCTCAGATCTTGACTCATGGATTCATTCTGCATGACATTTAAATATTACATGAGCACTCAACCTTGTTGGTCCTTCGATAAAGTCTTGGTACTTCTGAAGCGCTTTTCAGGAAACGAACGCTCCTTTCTGTTAGATGCTGAGTCATTCTGCTGTTCAGTGTGGGGACGCAGCTGTACAGGGACGCCCTGGAATCCTGCAAGGCTTCTAGAGCCCCAAGCAGAAAAAAAAAACTCATTACATAAGAAGATTAGAAATGGCATTAGTCTCAAAAAATCAGAAATGGCTTTAAACTTCACATAACAAACCTGAAACTACGGTAAAGTTTTTGAATCCAATACTATCCAATTTTGCCCTGATCATCTCAGAGATATCTGGAATCTGGGAACAGAGTGAAAACCTTCCTCACTCGATGCAAATAAGATCAAAATAAGACTTTAGCTCTGTGTGAAATAAAAATATGAATTACCTGCCCTTGTAACTTATCAACATCAGCTGCGATGAAGACGAGCTGCTTGGTAGACAAAACTGTGGGGCCACTGGTATCGCTGTCTGCATCCTGTGATGTGCGGCTGGATGTGGAGGAGGCGGAGCTTGGGAGCGGTTTTACCAAATCTTTGCTAGTCTCTGAAGGTGACGTTTTTGTTAGAACCTGCGAGACAAAAAGAAATGACGTGAATAATAACCCTACTATGATTCATATTCCTTCTGCCTGGAATGCTTTACCTCTGTAATAAAGGTGCCGTATCTGGAGATCAGCTGCAACGTTAGCTTCCAAAACCGATGAGCAAGCGGTGGCAGATACACCTGGTCAGCCCAGCACCTGCACACACAGCTCCACAACACCTCGGTAACCTGCAGGTGGTAGCTGCCGCCCGCTGATGTTCACAAACACAAAGAGCAGACTGTGAGCTGTGGTGATCTCTTACTCACTCTATTGTTAGTCACAGCTTTCTTCATCATAAAAAGCAGGTTAACAGATGCACAGAATTACCACATATCAACATGGTCATTCTTATATTAACCCAAACACATTGACTGACCTGGAGATGCCTCTAGTCCATCAGCAATGGCATTTTCTAGACTTCCTGCAATCTCCTTGAACCTAAAAAAACATCCAGAACAGAAAGTCAAGAGACAGCTGTATATAATTATTTCAAAGTAACCTCTGCTACATAGCAGTTATACATTTTTTCCTCATTTTTATGAGTCAAAAGCAATGACTTCAAACTTAGAGAGGTTTAGAGAATTCAAAATATACAGGATATACAAGAATTTTGGACCTTTGACAAATACTAATTCTGTATTAAGCAGGACATTAAAGAACTGATTTGTAATCTAAAAGGTCAGGCTGGTAATGAAGAATCCATGACGCAGGTCCATATTTGGCTGAGTGTGACGTCCATGTGGGCTGATACACAGGAAGCACGGGGGAATGAAACAGAGCGACAAACGACAAATGCGTTTTACTTATCAGACTTTTACCAATATTTCTGGCCATTAAAGTCAGAGAACATTAACACTTGGACTTTTAGTTGTAACAAATAACTAAATGATTAATATAATATAATTAATATAATAATAATTGTTCAGTTAAAAATTAAAATAAATAAGTTAAAATAAAGATAAAAAATACTAAATACCTCAACACCACTTACAAAGAAGAGCTTTTATCGTGAATATTTTAGTTAAGTTTTCAGTATTTGTCTTAAAGTGTTCGATAACAACCGTAAATAGCGAACATTGTTTCAAATCCAAAATGTTAAACCATAAAACAAAAACAACTCGAGAGCTTCTGAAGTTCACTACAAGACCTTAATTCCAAGAAAAGCAAACACAATATACAGGCTTAACTGGCTTAAGCAAACTAAGATATCAGTGGACTTTATAATCAGTGAATAGTGCTGCTCAAACATCACAGAGCAAAGACTGTCCAGCCTAAAACACAGATCGATTCATATCCAGGGTGATTATCTCTCTTTAAATATATTGCACAAAGAACAGAATCAAGTAGCACAGGAGATTCCAAAAAAACATGAGTGACTCATAACTTTTCCAAAAAAAAAGAAAGAATTGTAACACTTCCAACAGACACAAAGTTTACACAAAGCAGGTTACCAACACACATTTAAAGGAATCTCCTTCTCTGCACTTTTTGGAGTGTTGACTATTTATTGTCAGTAAATTATATCACAGTGCAGGAAACAACCGGGTCAGGGAATATCCAGGTTGTATTGACCCAGAACAACAGATAAAGCAGTGAAATGGCACAGTCGTCATTCTCACCGTAGCTGGAAGTACACTGGCAGGTTCCATTTGTTGTGGAAGCTCTGGTAGCACGGATGTGCTCGCAGCCTCTTCACGCTCGCCTGGGAACCACACTGCCTCTCAAACTTGCGCACAAAATCCATGCTGACAGTGTATTTCTGCACAGACAAACAGACGCAAGGAGAGCCACTCAATGAGATGTATGCCATTTTAAGAAGTGATTTCAGTCTAAATAAAAAAAGCAATTCTGGTGCAAGTTTGTTCTTTCTTTACCTCATAAAATGCATCTGGGTTTCCTGGATTGAAAAGGGAAGGGATTCTTTCCTCAACACCTCTAATGATCTCAGGCCAAACGGAGTTCACCAGGAAGTCGTATCCTGGAACAATGTCGGCTTTATCACTAGGCATACAAAAGGGTAAACGCATTAAAATACTGTATGCTGTGTATATAATATGACAACAATGGCACAATGCAGTTCACACACAGTGAATGTCAGTCATACCTAGAGATTGCCCCACCAGTCACCTCTCTCAGCAGTCTACAATGATGAGGCACAAACTCCAACAGCTTTGTGTACATCATCTTTAGACCATTAGGGTTGGACTTGACAAACTGTTCAACTATTACCTGACAAAGAAACAACAGGTGCAGTTGGGAAATATATATACAGATGGAGAAGACAGCGAGGTAAATAACATATCCATTTTGTATTTGCTAAGCTCATAAAATTGTGATCTTAACAATGAGTTATGCAAATTAGAATTGACTATTGCAGTATCCGAGTAATATGCAAAATGTACCTCATCCATGTATGGTTTGACTAAGACCTGTCCGACCAGTGCCTCCGCATCCCTGGTCTTATCGATGGTGGCATATGTCCTGAGGCAATGCCGTACGATATCTACATTTAACGTCTGCAGGCCTTGGATCAATAAGCCTTCCAGGGACTGTTGAAGCATAGCTGTGATACCGGCTATTCTCTGGAACACAGAAAAAAACCCCACACAAAATAAGCAAGCAGACATCTCACTTTAAGTCTAAGAAGCATAAACTACAGACTTTATTTAACCTTGATTGATATTATATAGTTATATTAGGCTATAAAGTGTCTAATTTGAATTTAAAGGTAACATTTTTTTTATGTTAAAAATACTTTTTCCTACCCCAGCTTAATGTGACAAGAAACACAAGGGGTTATTTTAAGACTGGAAGCTCACCAGGCGGACTTTATCAAGCAATGGCATTCCTTTGCTCTGGACCGCATGAAACTGTAACTGGTTGAACTCGGTGGCAATCCGCTCTAGGATCTGACCTGCCAGAAGAGGACTTCAAAACAAAGAGCATGCTGTTCATATACAATGGTAAGTGTAATATTGAATGCAAAATTATAACAAAATCCTTTCCTTTAAGGGTTAGTTCACCCAAAAATTTTAATCATCCTATAATTTACTCACCTTTACTCATTTTTTTTAAGTCCAAAAAAGCGCATCCATCCATCATAAAAGTAATCCATACGGTTCCAGGGTGTTAATAAAGGCCTTCTGAAGTGAAGCGATGCGTTTTTGTAAGAAAAATATCCATGTTTATAACTTTACATACTAAAATCATATGCCTACATCATATGCCAGAACTTGACTCTCTCGTGAACGCGAGGACGGCCGTTACCGGATGCCAGAGGTTTTAGTCTATAAAGTTATAAATATGGATATTTTTCTACAAAAAAAGCATTGCTTCACTTCAGAAGTCCTTTATGAACACCCTGGATCTGTATGGATTACTTTTATGATAGATGGATGGGCTTCAAAAAAAAATGGCACCATTCACTCCCATTATAAAGCTGGGAAGAGCCTGGATATTTTTTTAACATAACTCTGATTCTGTTTGGCTGAAAGAAGAAAGTCATTTACACCTAGGATGGCTTGAGGCTGAGTAAATTATGGGACAATTTTAAATTTGGGAGTGAACTATTCCTTTAAGCAATGAGTCATTTATCAATAAAAGTTGTTTAGTTGTAAAACTACTGTATAGTTTGAGGTCAGTATGATTATTTTTTTAAATAATGAATACTTTTATTCAGTAACAACAACACATTAAATTGCCCAGTAAAGACTTTTAAATTGTAACAAATATTTCCATTTTAAATAAGCACTGTTCTTTTCATCAAAGAATCCTGAAAAAAAAATCGTATCATGGTTTCATCAAAAATATGAAGCTATTTACAAGACTGATAAAAAATAATAATAAGGGTTTCTTGAGCACCAAATCAGCATATTAGCTTGCTTTCTGAAGGATCATGTGACCCTGAAGACTGGAGTAATGGCTCCTGAAAATTCAGCTTTGCCATCACAGGAATAAATCAAATTATAAAATATATTAAAATTGGTCAATTGTAATAATATTTCAGAGTATTACTCTTTCTTTTTACTTTAGCCTTGATGAGTCTCATTTTGTCTTCTTCTAAATACTTAACATACCTGCTGGTCTCGAGTGACGTTGTATCTTTGGTGTTTTGATGAAGAATTTTCTCAATCTTCTCCACTGATCTCACAACTTGGATGAGTCTCAACACACATAGCTACAGAAGACACAATGTTGGACAATGTGTGCATAGTGGTGACAGGCTCCTTTACAATAAAATGTACAAGTGTCTTACCTTCTTTTTTTGAATGTCATCTTGCTTGGATAACTGGTTGTCTATAGCTTCAATAACTTCATTCACAGAGGATCTCAAACTCTGTACATGAGAGGAAGATACTTAGATGACTTAATGGAATATGGCAAATTTAAAAGTTTTCACTGAAGTGTTAAGCACTTACCAGCACCTCCTCACGTAACTGGCCGAGAGGGACAGAGAGCTGATTGAGGGCTTTATCCATTCCAACCTAAAACACAGATACATACTTTTCTGTCACTCATGGAAACAATAAGCCAATAAAGTATGTGGCAAAAATCAAGACGTACTAATATTAGAATAAGACTTTTGTCTTATTCTTTGGTAGCACATCATTTCTGCTGAAAATATTGTATAATGTTCATAAAGCACAAAGACTCACAAGATTGGTGGACAGATTAACAAAATCTGCATAGTCTTTATTGATAAGCTCGACCATGGCTGTTTTGAGGAGTCTGTAATATTGCTCCAGATCTTCACGCATCTCCTCCAGCTGGACACGCTTTCTGCAATCAGCCACAAATTTGTCCACGTCGAAATCATCCTGCATGGAAATGTACAAATATTTGACATCAAAATGCCATCAAAAATGGTGTCAAATGATTTCAAACACATTAAGAAACTGAAGAACAGTTAAGAAATCCTTGTATAGAGAACATCACAATTGTTATAGTATCAAGTTGATATTTCATAATCATATGAGAACTGATTATAAACATACATTTTAACTTGGTAACATGCGTCACCTGTCCTATTACATATGCTTGAGGGTCTTAAAGTGCCCAGAAACTAAGGTTTTCTGAATGGTGCACAGTGACACACTGTAAAAGTTCACTCACTTTTTAAAGTCAGTCACATTTCTGAAAAAAGCACGCAGGATTTGTGAGGGTTAAAGGTTTAATAATTCATGTCCAATATGTTAAGTCAAATTAACATCATAAAAGCGACAGAAGAGGAAAGAAAGAAAGAAAGAAAGAAAGAAAGAAAGAAAGAAAGAAAGAAAGAAAGAAAGAAAGAAAGAAAGAAAGAAAGAAAGAAAGAAAGAAAGAAAGAAAGAAATTTCTAAATGTTTCTTATCGTCTCTTATTAGGTCTCTGGGGCCCCAAAAATAACGTCAGTAAACTCTGAAAAGCGTTAACTTAATCAAGCAGTACTTCAAAATAGAAATACAACACACACACACTAAACAAGCAACTAAGTTAATCACGTTAGTTAAGTTACTGTACAGCTGAATACAGGGCTCTATTTAGTTGATACATACAGCACACCCACCTTCATAAATTCGTCTTTGTCGAAACACAAAGAATCGGGCCCCTTTGGTAAGGTCATCGTTCTTTTAGGACGGGCCACAAACAAAATAATCTGCAAATGTATTTTTTTTTAACCGTGAAATTTGCTACATATCATTTCAAATGACAGAGTAATCGATTCAACTTCCGCAAACATGGCACACGCTAACGAGTAGGTGGAAAATACAAAACCCTACAATCTCTGAAAGGAAGATTGTCTGTGAACAGCGCCCCAATTGACTTTCAGCGGTACTGCAGCATAACTATAATGCACAAACCCATGATGATAACTCATTTAATGCCAAATTATTTCCAGCTAAGTGAACACGCGTATTTTACACCATGCATAGCCCCTTGAATATTATTTTATTCCTGTTATGTAACCGGTGTTATAATAAAAAAATAAAAACCAGTGAGAAACTGCAGAGTGAAAAATTACTTTCTCAATAAGACTAGAATGCTGCAAGCACTAAAGTAACAATTTAATATTTTTTACTATCAATATTTTAACATCATGGCCCGGTTTTACAGACAGGGCTTAGATTAAGCCAGGATTAAACCTTAGTTTAATTAGGGCATTTAAATGGATTTTATAAAAGTGCCTTAGAAAAAAAATTAGGCTGCTGGTGTGCATCTTGAGAAAAAACATTTTTAAGATATGTCAGATAAGTTGCTTTCAGTTAAAACAGCTCAAACATGCATTTAGTCTGGGACTAGGTTTAAGCCTTAAGGTTTAAGCCTAGTCTGTGAAACCGGGGGTATATTTCCTACACTTTGTTTTAGCTATATAAACAATCATTTTAAATCTACAAGTGTGTAATGTTTTAAACGTGAACATGTCTAACTGGAACTCGTTTGATGCTCTTGCATATTCAAACTGAAAAAAAAATTGTCAACAAGGTATTTAACACTGCTCTCCATCAGTGGCAGAGCAAATATAATTCTTGTCTCTATCATCCATGATTTATTCAGAGGTTAATCCCATTGGACAGTGCAGGGAGACCGAGTCAGGTGATTTCTAAGGAAGCTGGAGATTCATTCAATCCTCCACAGAGAGGGGAGCCCGCCCAACCCGGATGCACAGATCGTTTGTGGAGCGGTCAGTTGTGGGGTTCAGCTCGCATGATAGGGGGTATTTCAGCACCACCCAGAACGGACAGCTCCCGCGGCGTTCACCTTTATTTCCTCGCCGCTACTGAGACCTGCTGCACCCGCTGCTTCTCGCGCAGGGGACCGCGACACGCACGCACGAACCAGAGGGGTTTGGTGCAACAGACTGTATGCCGGATTTGACGCTGTTAAGGAGGTCATTTGCATGCCGAATCTCGCCGGGTGTAGCAGCTCTACCTCGGTACTGACAAACGATGGCGGAGTGTGGAAGGAGGGGACTGTCGCTCCTCGAGGAAGCGCGTTCTCGCTACGAGAGCCTGCAGATTTCCGATGATGTATTTGGGGAGTCGGGAGACGACAGCAGCGAAAACCCCTTTTACAGTACAACGGGAGACTCCAATTCGGATAACTACACGGAGACGAATACGGTCGATGCCAGAGCCGGTGAAACTAGGAGTCAGAGCTGCGGTCCTCCCGGGTCTGTTTCCAACGGCCAGGCGCAGGAGGAGGGATGGAGCGACACGCTACTGGACTTCAGCGTGCCCCACTATCAGGACACGCATGGTAAGTTCAGCGCTGATTAACTGGTCCTCGTGTTAATGCAATGCAGCTTTCTCATCCTTGAGAGGCCTGCATGCTCGACGAGTATTAAGCTCACAGATGGGACCCTTTGGTGACTACACTGGTTTACTTTGATCTCTCCCATCAGATGGCTCCAACAGATGACACAATTCCTTCAAATGTGGATCATGGGTGATTATTAGCTGGCTCTTTGAAATCCTGCAGAGAAAATATAGGAACTGAGATAGCAGGCCAAATTTTGGGTTTTCAGACCATCTGAGCATGCTTCCAGTGTCTAATCACTGCCAGACTCCGAGCAGCTGTGATTATGATTATGATTATGATTAGCTCTGTATCAGGGCAGAAGGGTCATTTGCATGGGTGGATGAGAGGAGGCTCTTATTTCGGAGAAATGCACACTTTAAAAATGGTTAGGTGGCTTTTAGAGAGTATTAACATCAAGTGTGAAAGCTTTCATATCAAGTGATGTACTGTGCATACATATCCAACAAGTGGCAATTACGACCGTAGAGGGAACAAATAAGGACTTATGAAAATCAGGACAAAAAAACAACAACAAAAAACAACAGTAAACTAAAACCACACACACACACACGTCTGGTTTACTATCTTTGTGGGGACTCTCCACAGACGTAATGGTTTTTATACTGAATAAACTGTATATTCTATCCCCTTACACTAACCCTACCCCTAAACCTACCCATCACAGAAAACATTCTGCATTTTTACATTTTCAAAAAAACTCATTCTGTATGATTTATAAGCTTGTTTCTTCATTGGGACCTCAATTTAGATCCCCGCGGTGACACGAGTCCCCATGAGTTGGTGTGCATTCAGGTTGAAGTCCCCACCAGGATAGAAACACGCACACGCACACGCACACGCACACTATTGCCAGTCAGAACCTATGTTTTATGTAAAAATCCTTATGTCATTCAGTCAGCAGTTGTTTAAAATTCAATAGACGGTCATTTTAGGTAGATTAATATCATTTTAAGAGATTGTATTAATGCCTGTCATTTAAAGTGTCACCACATTTTATAAAAGCTCACGGCTGACTGACTGACTGACTGTCTTTTATGCCACACTGAATGCCTATAGAGAAAAGATTAAGGACAAACACTAATTTAGAAATAAAATATTAAGTTGATATTTCATGACATATAATCATATGAGAACTGATTATGAACATAAATTTCAACTTGATAACTTCAACTGTTCTTTGGAGATTATTTGTATTATTATGCACGTTTGAGGGTCTAATAGGTTTTCTGGTTGGTGTACACACTAAAAGTTCACTCGTTTTATCAATTGTGTTTTTGGGTTTGTTTTAATAAAAAAAAATTCTACAGTATGTTTTGGTGGGGTCAAAAAACTACATTAAAGTCAGTCACATTTCGAAAAAAGAGCATGCAGGATTTGTGAGGGTTAAAGGTTTAATAATTCATGTCCATTATGTTAAGTCAAATCAACATATTAAAAGTGCCTGAAGATAATTTAGTTATGCTTTTATGAACTGAATTTACCTGACAGATTTGCATGACTTATCAATATAAAGATGCTTGCCAGTAAAATGATTGTGGTCCAGAAATGCAAATCATCATCTAAAGAGAGAGTATATATAACTTAATAGTTTATTCATTTATTTAACTGTTAATGATGTTGTGCATGCGCCAAATTATACTATGTTAAAGTTATGACACAGAAATATGATCAAACCTGCTAAATGTAAAATATACGTGATGCCAGTGATTAGTTTCAGTATTAAGGGAACAGATTTACTAGATTACTCACTAAGTAATAAAAAAAATATGAAATTACTCTTGACTGGAGCTTCTATGAGAATAGTCCAGTTAGCACAATGTCAAAGAAATACCTGTAATGAATGAAATGGAGAGAGAAAGAGAAGGGCTCTTTTTTTATTCCAGCCACATAATATTGAAGGTCTATATATTTCTCCATGAATCATAGGCAGAGATAATCATGTGCTAATGCCAGACAGACTTTCAAATGCTGTGGTTTGCATAATGTGCAGGGAAACATTCTTGCATCTATAACAAAACATGTTTTTTTCTAGCAAGGATAGTCAAGAGTTTTATCAGTTATTCTATAATATGTTCTGATCTCATTGATGATCCATTTAATGGCAGTCTAAAAATATAGTCATAAACAGGACAGGAGTGTAGAGCCTCCAACTCTAACCGGTTGACATGGATCGATAGACTGATACTAATTTCATGCTTCATTTCACTCAAGTCAAAGTGACCCAAGAGCATGTTTAAATGATGCATGTGTGTGTCTGTTTAAATGTCATGTAAAGATCTTTCATTGCACAAACATGGAAAATTGAAAGAATGATGCAATCAGCAGATATTTATAACCAAAATACACTGAAGGGGGTCGCACACCGGACGAGAAGCGCAGCGCCGCGTCGCGCAGCGCCAGGTCTTTAAAATTCGAACACATTATTCTCTATGAGTGTACACACACCGGCGGCGCCATTCGGCGTCTGTCCGCGGCGCCCAGCTACGGCTCAGGACCTTGTTCAAAACCCTGCCGCGCCACAGAGCGCCATTTGCATAGTTTTATAGTAAATGTACATTTATTTGTCTCAAATCGTCGTTAATGTACATGGCTTCACCCTGTGCTGTTTTCACTCGGGTTAGCTAAACGCTAGCTAAATAAATACTATTGTATTATGTGACATATTTGCCTAGACAACGGATAACGTTACAACAAAATAACAGACTCAACGTGATAGACACTTTTACTCGATTAACGTTCAAACATCAGCTATTATTCAATGAACATAAAAAAATAAATAATTAATCAAGATAAAACACACATCGTGCAGCTCTTCTACCAGGAGTTGATTCAAAATTGTCCTCGCGCGAATAGAATGTGCGCGTCCGGTGTGCGATACCTGGAGTTGTCCTAGACGTGGCGCGACGCGGCGCTGCGCTTCTCGTCCGGTGTGCGACCCACTTGAGAAACACATATTACGATAATGTTTTAGTAGAAAGTATTATAATCCTTGTGTAATATTTTCTTGTATTGTTTTGGTTTGGGCATTTTCCAAATTGAGTAGATGCCGTGCTGCTGATATAAATGACACATCTATCCGTCGTGGTTGCTCAGAAAGTTCTGTCTGTCACCACAGGGGGAAAATGGGCCATCTGGTGACTGCCTTTGCTCTGGCACACGCTGCAAAATCAGTCAGGAAAGATAGTACACAAAGAGCAACGACATTTAGCATTTTATGTCATTGCTCATTTAAGAAGATGCGACACTTGTGGATACTGAAAGACAACGGAACGAGATGTCAGTGTTATTTGTAAAAGGTAATTGAATTGTCCGTGTCTGGCACAAGACTGCAGCCTGACTGTGAAACTTATATAAGGTCTATATTATTCAGGTCGGGTCAGATTTTGTGCTTTCGCTTGCATCCTTTGTGTTAAAGCATATCATCTAACATATCTCAACAAGTCATTTGAAAATGATTGAATTATAATAAACCAATGGACAGTAAAAGAGCTGTAAGCTGTAAACAGATCTTTGTTGTTTTTTGACACATTTAAAAAAAAAAATGAGACCCTGCTTGGACTGTTCGAGGGCCATATATGGTATAATTCAGCACCTGCTGTAAGATCTAAAATGATAAGATCGATTTATACTAGCTTGCTTATTTGTATAAAGGAGGGGAGAAGGTGCAGAGGCTGCTGCTTCTTCTTCTCAATAATTCATCTAGGAAACACTGTACTGTAGCACACCAGCAACGGTTCTCCAGGAAGACTGGATGTAAAGACACAGAGAAATAAATACATTTTGATGTTATATAGACCTTCTGGGTGTGAACAGAAAAGCCATTGAACACAGCTATTAAAGCCAGCTTATATGAAATATCACTGCAGCACTTCAAGCATTAAGATTACAATTGGACAAGCAATATTTTTACCCAGTTTTTCTGCTAATATAAAGTACTGTAGTACATGTATGTTCATGGATTTTAGAAGTGATATGGCCATTATCTGGTTAAGCATATTAGCCTACATAACACTTTGATTTAATACCATAACTCATTTTAAGCTAGATAAAAACAAACCTTGAACTGTTTTCTCTGTCATGTTAATTTTATACTTGTTTATTAAAATTTAAATTCTGGCCAGCATAAAAATATTAAATTAAATTATTATATTTTCTTTAAATATTTTGTATAGACAGATTGACATTAAATACTTCCGGGAAATTGACATGTCCTTCTATACTTCATGTAAAACTATTCTGAACAGCAATTGGCTAATTCCTCGAATTATTTTGCATGTAGCTTTAATGACCCGAAATATTTCTACTAAATTATTTTGTTTCACCACAAGATCATTTACAATGAATGCAACAAGGCAACATGCAATTAAAAATAGTGACCAGTGACAGTAAGATACATTTGAATCTTTTCTAGATTTTGATTCGTTCATGAACATTTTATGTCAACTACCTATTTTTAGCATACTGGGTTAAGTGTTTATGTAATCAGCATTTTTCCTGAGATGTTTTTCCCCTAAAAAGATGTTTTATACCAAAAAGGCACAGATGAATGAACATAATAAACTGTGCTATGGACTTTATCCTGCGGGATAGTTTGTGTTTGCTTTACAAGATCCTTCAGGTCCGTAATGGGAGATGAGCTACTGGTTGAATAGCAGCTGTTGCGGTTTGGTTAAGATGTGTGTCATACACGACTGAATGAGCACATGAGTCTTTGGAAAGCATGACTGAAACATTTGTTCAGAAAAATAACTGATTTTTTTTTTTTTTTTTTTTTTTTTTAATTATTTTTCTGTTTTATTTCTTCCTATTTGTACTTGATTTCCTGTGTAGATCAGAATCCTGGACATTTGTTTACTCACAGCACTCAAATCAATTATACACTCTCTTACTTTGGGGTCATTAGGTCTCTGTGACTCTCAGTAAATGTGTGGCAAGTTGTAACTGCAGTTGCTGGCCACTGCTGTGCTTTGGGGTTTCCATCACTACAATAATAACCACATAAGGGAATTTTTTTTGTCTGTTGTTTGTGGGTGTTCACACCAATATTCACACTAAGCAACACTGTAAATGATACTTATTTCCACAGTGTAAGTTAATGTATGATAACGCATCTCCTATAAAGACACTTCCATTTTCCTCCTTAGTTGTTTGCTCCATTTCTGTGTGAGCTGCATGGTGCCTTTTAAGAGACAAAACGGACATTAGAGGAAGTGGAGTAAAAGATAACAACGGAACAAATTATGCTTTTTGTGAGCCGCTTTCTACAACTTTTTATCATTAGCTGGTAAGCAGTGTTTCTCATTAGTACATACATTAGTTCACCATTAGGTAGATGGTGATAAGGGTCCTGATAAAAGTCATTAGAGGTTCAACTGTGCATCCAATGCCCAGTAAAAGGAACAGATCACCCGAAAATGAACATTCTGTCATCATTTACTCACTTTCATGTCGTTCCAAACCTGTATTTTTTTTTTCTTTCGAACACAAAAGAAGATATTTTGAAAAATAAATAAATATTTGTGTGTGTGTTCCATGGAAGACAAAAATTAGAATGTATTAGAATGTACAACTGAATATTGTTGACATCTAATTTAAGGAACTAAACTATCCCTTTAAGGAAATCATATCTACAAAGCTATATAAATCTATTACATAACCCGCAGTCACCAAATAAATGTGCATATATATATAAAAAATCACAAAAAAAACACTTCTAACAACATAATCATTTTTTTATTTTCTTCAAGGTTTTTTGTTTTGTTTTAGTTTAATATGAATATTGAAATGAAGGTATCATTATTTAAAAGAAATATGGAGAATTAATATAATGCTGTTTTTATTGAAAGATTCAGAGGTCTTATGTAAATCAGCTGCTTAATAGTTTTTTTTTTATAATTAAACATGTATAATCAAAATCACATATTATGTATTTCCAGTGCTAAACAGTTATTTTGGGATTTTCAACCTTTTATTTCGTTCAAAAAAGTTGGCTTAGTTTGTGGATTATAAAATGATGCAATAGCTTTTGCATTATTCTCTGCGATCGTGTGCATACAGTAAAATCATCCCTGGCTTAAAAAAATGAAAGAATTAAAAATATATATCAGTCTGTTAAAACGTAACTTTTATTTTGCAGGTCCGACACAGAAAATGCCAGCCAATGCAACGGCCATGGACTTCTTCCAGCTGTTTGTCCCTGACAACGTCATTCAGAACATGGTGACCCAGACCAACATGTATGCCAAAAAGTACCAGGAGCGCTTTGGAAGTGATGAAGGATGGACCAATGTGACGCTGGCTGAGATGAAGGCTTTTCTGGGTTATGTTACTTCTACTAGCGTGAACCGTTGTGAATCAGTGCTGAGCATCTGGAGCAGCGGATTCTTCAGTAATCGCAGCATCGCGCTCAAGATGACCCAGGCGCGTTTCGAGAAGATCCTCAAGTACTTCCATGTCGTAGCCTTCCGCTCCAGCCACGGTGGCAGTCAGGGCCTCTATAAGATCCAGCCCTTCCTGGACTCTCTTCAGCAGAGCTTCAGCTCTACCTTCAGGCCCTCACAGACACAGGTAATGGATACAAGCAATGAAATCATACTTCAAATCAATGCACAAATCACTGTCAGTCAGCAAACATCAACAGTACAAAGAAAAACTGCACGAAACAAATCTTCACAGTATTAACATTTTGGAAACTAGGACTAGCAGACATATTCGATTTCTGTGCCAGTGGAAAGTGGGTTTGGGACTGAAATCAGAACACGTTCTGCCGTAATTGGGATAGCCTGGAGTCCCGTCACATGTCTCATGACTAGGAGCTTTATGGTACCATTTTGAAAGGTCTGAGTGGTCTTTTTATATCTGCTGCTATTCTGTGTTGCTAAATGCAATACTCGAGGTCTGTTGTACTTTGTATCTTAATTTGTAGCATACATAGATTGAAAACAAACTATTTATCTTTTCTGAAAGATTACAGTTAAGTGCATGAATGCCTCAGGCCCATCTTAAGTTATTAATAAGCTCAGGAGTCAACATTTTTGACCTTCAATCTTTGTAATCATTTTGTCTCTAAAGTCCCTCAGGTTCCAGTTCTCAGTCTGCTTTCATTATGGATGTGGAAATAATGACTTTATAAAATAAAATTGAATTAATTAAAATTTAAATATTATTACATTTATATTTAAACGAGGGATGAGAATGGAATGAATTACATCAATGTTATCTGGCAACGAATTCAGTCAGCTAAAAAGGAGAGGAAGGAGCTCCATGTGACATTCCTGGATTTGGCTAATGCATATGGTTCAGTGCCACATGAGCTTCTTTGGGCAGCATTTGATTTTTTCAGAGTACCAATGTCAATAACAAATTTAGTGAAAGCCTATTTTGGAGATTTGCAATTCAGTTTCTCAACTCCAAAATTCAGCACTGCATGGCAATGCTTAGGGGTTGGAATAATGGCAGGATGCACCATTTCTCCACTGGCTTTTACCATGGCGATGGAAGTAATCATTAGGGCATCAAGATGGGTAGTAGGAGGAGAGCGCTTGGCTTCTGGGATGCGACTACCACCAATCAGAGCATACATGGATGACATGACAACCATGACTACAACAGTAGCCTGCACTAATCGGTTATTGGGGAAGTTAACAGATAATATTAAATGGGCACGAATGCAATTTAAGCCCTCTAAATCAAGGAGCATCTCGATAGTTAAAGGAAAGGTAGTAGATAAAACATTCTTCATTAATGGTGAGGCAATACCAACAGTTTCTGAGAAGCCAGTGAAGAGTCTTGGGAGATGGTACGATGGGGATCTAAAGGATTAAGGGTTGAAGAGCATAAACAGCTGTGCTCTACCAGGCAAACTAAAACTCTGGTGCTTTCAGTTTGGTCTACTGCCGAGGTTTCTGTGGCCACTGACTGTGTACGAGGTTTCTTTGACAACAGTGGATAAGCTGGAAGCGTTGATAAGTTCATACATCAGGAAATGGTTGGGAGTTCCACGCTGCCTCAGCAGAGTGGGACTTTATAGTAAAGGAATATTGCAGCTGCCAGTCTTTGCTTTAACCGAGGAGTTTAAGTGTGCCAAGGTCAGACTGGAAATGACCTTAGTAGAGTCACGCGACAAATGTGTAAGGGAGGTAGCCCCTGTGTTAAAAACTGGTAGAAAGTGGTCAGCAAAGAAATCTGCTGTAGAGGCAAAGGCTGCCCTTCAAATTGGGGATATCGTGGGACAGGTACAGCATGGAAGAGGGGTTTTTGGGTTCAGTTTAGCTCCTCCTAAATGGCACAAGGCAGGCCCAGCTCAAAGGAGGAAGCTGGTAGTCAATGAGGTGCGTAAGCAGGAGGAGAGGATGAGGTGTATGAAGGCCATTTCCCAGGCCAAGCAGGGAGAGTGGATGAGATGGGAGAGTGTGGAACAACGTAAGATGGGCTGGCAAGACCTTTGGTCAATGGAAGAGAGTAGGATCAGTTTCCTTATTAGGTCAACATATGATGTTTTCCCATCACCGCAGAACCTAAACCTCTGGGTAGGAGAGGATCCCTCTTGTCCTTTGTGTTCATCGCCTGCCACATTAAGGCACATTTTGACAGGATGTAAGGTGGCTCTTAGCCAAGGTCGGTTTACTTGGCGCCATGACCAAGTACTGCGATGTTTGGCTTTAGCATTAGAAGGCAAGCGTAACATGACCAATAAGACCACTACCATTCAAAAGTTTGGGGGAAGTACGATAAAAAAAGAAAAGAAATGATTACTTTTATTCAGCAAGGATGCATTGAATTAATCAAAAGTGACAGTAAAACATTTAAAATGTTACAAACGATTTCTATTTTAAATAAATGATGTTCTTTTGAACTTCTACTCATCAAGGAATCCTGAAAAAAAAATGTATCACGGATTCCACTAAAATCAGCAGCACAACTGTCTTTAACGTTGATTAAAAAAAATCTTGAGCAGCAAATCAGTATATTAGAATGATTTCTGAAGGAACATGTGACACTGAAGACTGGAGTTATGATATTGAAAGTTCAGCTAAATAAAGTCAGATATCTTATTCAAAGTTCTATGAGATCATAGACAGTAATAGTCAATTCTGCTAATTTAATGTATCCAAATATCACTTTAAATGTAGTCCTATGTTAAATAAAATGACAGCAATTATGCACTTAATGTGCCAGACATTCAGATGTAAGGCTAACATCAGGGAGTTTACTGTTAAATGACAAGAAGAGCTGTGCCAAGTAAGACATTTCAACACCCTCCTACATTTGTTCTGGTTTTTCTCTCTTCATTTAGAAAATGAGTTTCCCGTATATTGAATAATCTGGGCTTCTGCTTTCAGATAGAGGACATAAAATTGGAACCGAGTTGTGAAAAGTAATCGTGAAATATGAGCTAGAATCTGAGCAGTCCGTGAACCACATTTATTACATTCCGTCAAATTAAAAGCAGCAAACATCAACATGTTGACAGTACAAAGAAAAACTGCATGAAAAAAATCTTCACAGTATTAACATTTTGGAAACTAGGACTAGCAGACATTCGATTTCTGTGCCAGTGGAAAGTGGGTTTGGGACTGAAATCAGAACACGTTCTGCCGTAATTGGGATAGCCTGGAGTCCCGTCACATGTCTCATGACTAGGAGCTTTATGGTACCATTTTGAAAGGTCTGAGTGGTCTTTTTATATCTGCTGCTATTCAGTGTTGCTCAATGCAATACTCAAGGTCTGTTGTACTTTGTATCTTAATTTGTAGCATACAATACATAGATCGAAAACGAACCATTTATCTTTTCTGAAAGATGTGCTTCAAGTTGCCATTAAACTCAGATTGGCATCCCTCCGTAGAGCAGAGAACTTGTGAAAACAAACAGACAAGAACTCAGTTCTTTAATGATCCCTTCAAATGTCTCTTTACAAGGGAGAAAAGTGGAACTCTGAAAGTAACAAAGAAAGATCTGGAGGATCACTTGAAGACTATACACTCCGACCCAAGATGGCACGAAAAAATGTCAGTTCCACCAGACATCCCACAAATCTGTTCTCTAGAACATCAAATGGAGATTCACCCTCCAATTTGGAAAGAGATGGAAAGCGTAGTCCATCACGCAAGATTGGCTTCAACCCCACGGCCAAATGGTGTACAAGAATGCACCGGATGTCCTGAGGTTTCTCTGGAGGCTCACGAGGATAGTGTGGAAGGAGAGGATTATACCCAAAGTGTGGCGTAGTCCTGATCCCGAAGGATAAGGAGTCAGAGAAGATTAGCCAGTTTCGACCAACATCCCGGCTAAATGTAGAGGGTAAAGTCTTTTTCTAAATCATCGCCAAGTGATTGTCTGAATACCTACAAAAACACCCTTGGCTTTTACGATGGCCATGGAGGTCATAATTTGAGCCTCAAGGTGGGTGGTGGGTGGACAGTGGCTTAATTCGGACTTGCGCCTCCCTCCCCTCAGAGCCCATATGGATGAGATTACTACTCTGACCACTACAGTGCCATGTACTAGAAGACTACTCAGAAAACTAGAGGAGAATATCAGCTGGGCCCAAATGAAGAGAAAACCTTCCAAATCACATAGCATCTCTATTGTCAAGGAAGTGCTTAGTGACATCAAGTTCTTCATCAGAATTGACCCTATCCCAACAGTATCTGAGCAGCCTGTGAAAAGCCTTTGTAGTTGGTATGATGCAAGCCTGAATGACAGATACAACAACTGCAGAAGGAGATCAGTAGTGGACTACGGGCCATTTTTATCAACTCCAGCTCCACTAACTTTTGGGGTTCCACAAGGGTCCCTTCTTGCTACTGTTTTCATTATATATGCTTCCTTTGGGATCTATTTTTAAGAAGTATGGTGTTTCTTTTCATTGCAATGCTGACGATACGCAGATTTATCTGCCACTGCAACATAATAACAAGAGTGCCCTAACTCCTCTTTTAGCTTGTCTAAATGACATAAAAAGCTGGATGTCCTTTCACTTAATGACAATAAAACAGAGGTCATTATATTTGGGCCATCTGATAATTATCTGCCTCCTAATCTCAATTTTGGTTCACTGGCCCTGTATAATAAAGCAGTTGTGAGGAATCTGGGTGTTTTATTTGACAAAACATTTATATTTGATAAGCAAATAAACGCTGTTGTCAAATCATGCTTTTTTTAATCTGAGACTTCTGGCTAAAGAGTAAAGAGTTTTCTTTCCATAGATGATTTTGAGAAAGCCATTCATGCCTTCATTTTTTCACGGCTTGACTTGTAACTCTCTTTATATAGGAGTTAGCCAGACAGCACTACTGCGGTTGCAGGCAGTCCAGAATGTGGCCGCTTGACTGTTGACAAGTTCTCGCAAATATGAGCATATTACAAACGCATAGAACGGCACATTCATCTTTTAAACGGCCATCAGGGATTTCTTTTAGAAATTGGCCTTTTGTTTTTCCCCCTTTGATTGATAGCGGCCAGCATGACTAGAGGCTAGATTGTGAGAATACATTGATCGACAAATTAAAAATTAATTTGAAATTTCCTCTGAGAAACATTCTAATTCTCCATTTGTGCTGACGATTTGGTGCTAATTAAGGTCCTGTGAACTCCTGCCCTTTAAAACCCCAATTACTGTTCCTACTGAAGTGCACTTTTGAGACATTTTTAGGTTCTTTATGTACTCCAATTAAAATATCCATCATGCTGGAAATTGTAGGTTGCCAACCTCTACATTTACAATGTATTCATATTAAAGGGATAGTTCACCCAAAAAATGAAAATTTAGTCATCATTTATTCACCCTCATGTCCTTCCAAACCTGTATGACCAGAGGTGGACAAAGTACACAACTTCCTTACTTGAGTCAAAGTACAGATACTACTGGTCAAATATTACTCTGTTACAAGTAAAAGTTGTAAAGACCGATATTTACTTAAGTAAAAGTACAGAAGTACTTGTTTTTAAAAGTACTTAAGTATCAAAAGTAAAAAGTAAATGTCAATGCATTGTTTTATTATTGTTGCATTGTTGTATGTAATACTTACAGTACCTTATGCCTCTGAATCTATGCCTGCCTACCTACCCTCGTATCAATATCAAATTTATTTCTAGAACACAGTTCCAGTAGTGGGATTGAATGTGAGATTGAATAAGTGCACTCAATAATGTTCACAATAGTTCCCTCAAATAGTGCTCTATTTAAAGCTTTTTGGCTTTTAGTATGAATATGTTAGCCTTACTGTTATCTATAAGCTAGTGTGGTCCAAAACAATGACAAAATTTGCATTTAGAAGACCAACCCAACGTTGAAAATTATAATCAGGTTGGTGTCAGAATCCAACGTCAGATTGACGACGTTAATCTCCAACGTTGGACAGACGTTGTATTGTTGTTGAAAATGAAAATTGGTTTGACGTCAGAACCCGACATTAGATTGACGTCAACCCGACTTTCATTTCCAACCAAAATCCAATGTCCGAAGTTGAATGTTGACGTCAATTCAACGTCGGGTTCTGACGTCAAACCAATTTTCATTTTCAACCAAAATGGTGAGGATCCACCCTCCCTTGCAACCAAAATCATCCCCTGACTGACGTTACTACTTTCTACTCAAGGACCTTGAAAGAAATGTAGTGGAGTAAAAAGTATGATATTTGTCTTTCAAATGTAGTAAAGTTAAAGTAAAAAGTTTCCAGAAAAAATATTACTCAAGTAAAGTAAAGATACTCAATAAGTGTACTTATACTGTACTCAAGTAAATGTACTTTGTTACTGTCCACCTCTGTGTATGACTTACTAAGTTTTTTAGATAGAAATCTTATGTTCTGGAGGAAGTCATACAGATTTAAAACATCACGAAGGTTAATAAAAGATGACAGAATAGTTTTTTTTGTGAACTATCCATTTAAGGTTGTCATTAACCTCATTAACCTGCATTATAGCTTGGTATTTCAACGTATGGATTTAAATGAATCAGCTTCAGCTTCTAAATCAGAGATTTGCATTTCATGAGGCCTTGTGTGACCCATCTCAGAGACACCCCTCAATTACTCGCCTACCATGAGTAAACTAAACACCATCTGCGTCTCTCAGCTTTCTCAGTGCCATGGAGATATCACCTTGACAATGTGTGCCAGCCAGCCCACTTTGACTGCTACAGTGTGCGTTTGTTTCTTAGCCCCTACTGGCAAACAATCAGGCATTCAGTACAGACACTCAGAGCCACACATGCCCTGTTTAACTGCTTCAGCTTGATGAGAGGTTTTACTGAGTCAAACAAATAAAAATAAATAGATTATCTTTAGGGAACACTACTGGTTAGTTCTAACCAGAAAAGAGAACAATCATACCTGACTTGACTTCTTGGGCATAGAAATGTTGTGTATATGTAAAGCCCGCCCAATCGCCACAACAACATTTTCCGATAAGCGGGTGGAGGATTACTGCGCGTTCGGTCTTTTCAGTGTGGCAAAGTAGTTTCATTCCAATTTACTTTGATCTGACTCCATTTTATCACAACCTTGAATTTAGGTTAGAATGCCAATTGATTATTGACCATTTGTATAATAGTTTAGCTACGCATTTGATTATTCTATGTAACTCTTTATTGAAATTACACTCATCCATATTTCTATAACACTTTGAGTCTCGCACCGGCTGGGTATACGATCTCATAATCACAAGCTAGTCAGTCTCGGTCATTAGACAGAGGCGATTGACTAATATTCTAGACGGCCGTACTCCACTTGCTTATTCTAGAATATATGATTTAGTCCCCATAGATTTGAACACACTTAATTAAGGTAAGACTATATCTAACCAGAGGTCATGACCTTTTAACTTCCAACTTAACCAACTTAACTTCCTCTAATGGTAACTTTATATAATCATGCCATGGTTTCCCTTCTGTGGGAATGAGACCTTTGTACCAGTCGCACTGAGACATTTCAAATGATACCAAACATGTATGGTGTTGTATGCTAATTGTTCACATTAAACCATCTAGATTTTTGGTTGAATTTCAGCATGTGGAGAGAAGAGATGGGGGAAGAGGGGGTGAAGGGAAAGAAATGTAAATTAAGACAATACTGATGTGATTGACTCAGTGTGATTGCATCTCGGGTGGGGATGCTAATTTTGCAAGAGAGTTATTATGATAATTTCACAGAAAACATGCGTACGCCTCTCTTCCAGATGTGAAATTTATAAATCACAAATTACCTTGAAATTGTGATTTGTAATTTAATTTTAAAAGAGCACCAGTCAATGTCCAAATCCTTTACTTGAAAAGGGCGAGTGGCAAGAATTGCTTAGATTTCCAAATACCTTCAAAAGACTCTCTGCCACAAGGACCGTTTTTATAAATATGAATGTTAGCATGGATTTTAGTGTACGCAGATTTGAACTTAGAGTGTGCATATGCTAAAATCCACGCCAACAGTAATATTTATAAAAACGGTCCTTAAGTTCAAATCTGTGCGTGCCCACATTTTATAAATGAGGCACCTTTTCAGGATTCCAGCATGCATCTTCTGTGGGAAACATAAAAAGTTTGAAAAACAACTTTGCATGTGTTATCATGGTGGAATTTTCAATTCAGACATGCTGCTTTTCCCCAGGTCCTCCATGAGCCCTTGATTGACGAGGATCCTGTGTTCATTACTACATGTACAGAGAGAGAGCTGCGCAAGAGGAAGAAGAGGAAGTTCAGCCTGTGGGTGCGTCAGTGCAGCGCCACCGGTTTCATCGGCCAGGTGAATACACACACACACACACACACGCTCCCACAGGGCAAGGATATACCACAAAGAAATTCATCAACTGCCCCAAGTTATGTCACATTGTTTCTAATGAGAAAGAGAAAAAAATGTTCACTTGTTTAAAATATTTTGCTTCTCGGTTGACAGCACAAAGCAGGAGTACAGAGAGGCACATTACTTGATGGAATCAATAAAATATCATTTATAGTCAACAAAGAAAAAGAGAGCCCAGACCACTTAACATAATTGCACTCTTCTCTTTGTCTGTGCCTATTAGAGAAAATAACTGCTGTGCCTGGGGATTGAGACAATCAGACAACAAAATATATTGTCCTTACTTTAATATTTTTGACGTACATTATCGTTCAAAAGTTTGGTGTCAAAGTTAAGTCTTTTATGCTCACCAAGGCTGAATTTATTTGATCAGAAATACAGTAAAACAGTCATATTGTGAAATATTAACTTTATTCCTGTTATTGCAAAGCTGAATTTTCAACATCATTACCCCAGTCTCAGTGTCATGCGATCCTTCAGAAATCATTATAATATGCTGATTTGTGCTCAAGAAACATTTCTTATTATTAGCAATGTTGAAAACAGTTGTGCTGCTTAATATTTTTGTGAAAACCATGACCAATTCTTCAGTATCTTTACTGCCACTTTGATCAATTTAATGTGTCCTTGCAGAATAAAAGTATTAATTTATTTGAAAAAAAACTAAAACCTTACTTTTGAACAGTAGGGTATTTCGGAGTAAAACAGGATATTTAATAATAATACAAAATATATAGGAATTTATTAGATTGACGAATGATTCACAATAATATCCAGAATGTGCATTTATAAAGTAAATAGTGTCAATTTTCATGCTTCCCCCTCAGATCAATGTCCATCTAAAGGAGGGCCCAGGTCCAGATGGTTTGGACACACTGAAAAATAAACCACAGCTTCACAGTCTGGTGGCCAAGCAGCTCTGTCAGAATCTGGCTGGCCGTAATGCTATCATCTTCACTGGTCCAAGCATCACAAGTCTAAACTTGTTTCAAGAATTTGAGAAACAGGGTAGGTGCTGCAATGTGTGTGCAACAGTGCTGCATCTGTCAATCCCTTGCATCTTTATCTGCTCTACTTCTCTCAGTGAATTCTGTCTTGGCTCTGCTTCTTCTTTTTTTCCATCACTTTAATCTTCTCTCCATCTGATGTTCCTCATCCCCTGCAGTTTTAATTACACGATGACAGCATCCTAGGCAAGGAATAAATGGAGAGAGTGAGAGGAAGTTGACCTTGAGTTCTCACAGCAAACGTGTTTCATACTCAAAGATTATTTGAATGCCTCCAGCTGGAAGTAAATGTTAACACAGCTAGAGTGGATTAGGCTAGTGGCCAGCTTCTCTCTTTCTACATTTCTTGGTCACATTTCTAGGTCATAATTGAATGTCTTTTAGAATTTATCAGCTTTATACAATAGGCCTACAGTTTGATGGTATTTATACAGCCCTGTAATAAACGGCAGTATAATAAACTGAATAATAAACTAAAAGTAGTGACTTCTGTGATAGTTTTTTTTTAAGCAGTGTAGCTTTTTCCACACGTGTAAGATTGTAAAACGCAACATCATATGGTTGTTTTTTTTTATATCACGATTACAAACCGTTTTATTTATCTTCAGTGCCACAGCAAAATAAACCATTTTTACTGGAGTTTGCAGTCTGATGTTAATGGCAAGAAATGTCTTTCTATCAAATTGTCCTTATGTGGTCTCGAATTGACTCTCTGTGGTCACAAAAAAATCCCAGGATGTCTTTCGAAAGAGTAGGGGTGTAACCCCGGCATCCTGGCCAAATTTGCCCAGTGGCCTCTGTCCATCATGGCCTCCTAATCATCCCCATATATATACACTGATTCATCACTCAGTCTCCTCTCCACCAATAAGCTGGTGTGTGGTGGGCGTTCTGGCGCAATATGGCTGCCATCGCATCATCCAGGTGGATGCTGCACATTGGTGGTGGTTGAGGAGATTCCCCCCTTCTATGTAAAACGCTTTGAGTGCCGAGAAAAGCGCTATATAAATGTAATGAATTATTTATTATTATTATTATGCGCCGCAAGCAAAACATCATACAACGCGTCCGATTTATGAACAAATGACTATTATGAGACGGTTCTTGTTTAGTGAATCAACAGCATACGAGTCCGATTTATGAGCAAATTACTATTATGAGTCGGTGATGATGACATGCTATTTCAGACACGCATGCTGAAAATCACATGCTTAAGTTTAAATGTAAAAAAGCGTGACGAATCGCTGACAAAATGGTCTATTTCTATTAAGAGCGAACGGGATATCAGTTGGCTAAACAATAGTGTACAGTTCAGTGAATCGGGTCTGTCATAGAGTTTATTGTAAATCAATGACAGTTGATGGAAGAATAGCATGCTGGCTTCAGAGTAGTTTCCTCAACATTGCTGTTCTGACATTTTTACCCCAGCTTTTTTCACACAACATCATCAGGTAGGTGAGCTCCAAAGATTTGCAAGATGTGATATTTTGTCATGAGTTTAACTGCTGGCAAATGTCCAAAATTTCCGTTCGGAGGAGTGATGAAACATCTTAGCAATAAATGTCAAAGTAGTCCAAATTTTCCTGAGTGAATCCTCCAGGACATTTGACTTCATTGCATATATAAAATGAAAGTTGTCCCCTTTCCCTTGCAGGGAGGATGAATATGAGTAATCATCATATCATATCTCAATCAGACCGCATTCAGATAGGCTGCAGCATCTGGCAGTGCTGAGAAGAAGACATCTGCTCACAGCTTCATAGATGTGACCTCTATTCATCCAATCAGCTTTCAGATGTGTGCTTTGAATGCTCATTGCTCAGGCTGAATATTCATTCTCAGCCTTCTCCAGAGATGGATTATTTACTCTTTTCTGTTCTACCTCTTTCTATCTCCTCCAGGCATCTACGGCTGCGGGTTGCTGAGCACCAGGAAGAGTGATTGTACAGGTCTTCCTCAGTCTATGCTGATCAATACTGAGGCTCCACAGCAACGTGGCCAGTCTCACGTTAAGATGAGAGGCAATACATCCATAATCAACTGGTACAACAAAGGCAACTTTAGGTTCCTCACTAACGCCTACTCTCCCACCAAAGAAGGTAAGAAAAACACACACAGGACAGGCATATAGTATGTTTCTACTTGTTTAAATGATGACACTTGCAAGCTGCAGCAACAAGCCTCCTGGAGAGTGTTTTCACTATAGTAGTGTGAGCTTAGATTGCTTTTACGCTGATGTACATGGATTAAGTGGACATCGTGCATATCAGGGATTATAAAAGCCAAAGCTTCATCGTATTGTGCTGGTTTTCACTTTTCTTTGATAAGCCTTGATCTGTTCTGACAGCAGCTTCACATGAGTTTCAAGTTCCAAGTTTGTATTTATTTATATAGCACATTTAAAAACAGCAAACAGGGCTGACCAAAGTGCTGAACAATACACAAGATGAAGAACAAGCACAAACCACACATTCATGACAAAAGCTCACAATGAATTAAAAGCTAAAGAAAAAAAAAAGGCTTTTAAGAGAGGATTTAAAAACAGTTCGAGATTGAGCCGCTCTGATGTAAACCGGAAGGCTGATCCACAGCCTAGGGCCAGCAATCGTAAAAGCTCTGTCCCCTCTATTCTTTAACCGTGATCTGGGGACAGACTAAAGTCTCTGATCACCAGACCTCAGGTTTCGTGTGGGATTGTATGGACAGGGGAGCTCAGACAAATAGCTTGGTGCCAGATTATTTACGGATTTAAAAACAAAGAGAAGAATTTGAAACTCAATTCTAGAATGCACAGGTAGCCAATGCAGTGATTTTAAGATAGGTGAAACATGAGAGAGGATCAGAGAGAGAGGATTTGATCTTAGAGAGAAGACGTAGCTGGAAAAAACAAGAACTAATCACCGCATTTATTTGTTTTTCAAATTTGAGGATGAGAAATGTCAGAGATGATATTAGGCATTTTTATTAAAGTAAGTGTGTGCGTGTGCGTGTGCGTGTGCGTGTGCGTGTAAATAAATAACATTGCTCCTGGTTTTTTAGGTCAGGCAAAAAGGGAGATTAAATTACGACTTATATTTCATTCTCTAGAATCTGAAATAATCCGTTTATATATAAAAAGCTTCTTCTGCATGCTGTTTCCTCTTTGAGAGCAGGTGATTAATGGGGCTATACAATTTCAATGAAAACGCAGAGCTAAAACTCTGCCAAATCTTCTATACATAACCTGAACTAAAACTATTATCCTACCGGTATTCAACCGCAACTTTTAGACACTTTGTGAATCCAGTCTATATATAATTTCAATGCTTTTCCTCATTGTCTTCAAAATAATATTTTAACATTTAATAAATTATCTTTTCTGGACCAGGGTGGAAGAAATAATTTCCCAGAATGCATTACCTGTGTTGATTTTCAACTTCCTGTGGTTTGTGGCCAATTCAATTTAGAGATTGAAATCAAGTGGAAATACAATAAATTGGATTTCTTAAAGCAGACGTGATGCTTTTACGTAGTCTGGTGGTATTTGTGTCTAGATTGTATTGCTTTAAAACTACATTTACATTGTGATTAGTAAAGGCACGATCTATGTTACTAAGATCTGTATTTTTTCCATCTTTTCGTTGCTAAAATACCTACTTCAGTGAACCTACAGCAGATAACTGAACAGTCCGTCCTTATTGAACATTTGATGTTACATCCTATTGCTCAGTATGGGGACTGTGATTGACATTTCTGCCCTGGACTATCCTAGGGGTGATCATTAAGAGGAAGAGCGGAGAAATCCCATGTCCCCTTGCTGTGGAGGCCTTTGCTGCACACCTGAGTTACATCTGCAAATATGATGACAAGTACAGCAAGTGAGTTTGACTAATTAAAGGGTTTATTCACCCAAAAAATCTCAATTCTGTCATCAATTTCTCACCCTCATGTCGTTCCAAACCCATAAGACTTTCGTTCATCACCGGAACTACCACTTTCAAGCCCCAGAAAGGTAGTAAATACATCATTAAAGTAATCCATGTGACTCCAGTAGTTCAACCTAAATGTTATGAAGGGATGCGAGTGCTTTGTTTGTGCAAAAAACATAATTTACTACTTTATTTATGAAATATTAATCTCCAACGCGCGTTCAACACAACATGCATCTGTCGTGCTCTCATTAATGCTCATTGGAGATTAATATATTGTTAATAAAGTGGTAAATTATGTTTTTTTTGCGCAAACAAAGCAGTCGTATTGCTTCATAAAATTGAGGTTAAACCACTGGAGTCAAATGGATTATTTTAATGATGTCTTTAATACCTTTCTGGGGCTTGAACGTGGTAGTTGCGTTATAGGCTGTCAATGGAGGGACAGAAAGCTCTCAGATTTCAATAAAAAGATCTTCATTTGTGTTCCGAAGATGAACGAAAGTCTTACGGGTTTGGAACGACATGAGGGTGAAGTTTTACAATGATAGTTAACAATTTGATAGTTCACTAAACTCATGATTTCCAATTAGGTATTTCATTTTTCACAAGCCCAACAAGACCTGGCAGCAGGTGTTTTGGCTGACCATCAGCATTGCCATCAACAACGCCTATATTCTTTACAAGATGTCAGATGCCTACCACGTGAAACGCTACAGCCGGGCACAGTTCGGCGAGAGGCTGGTCAAGGAGCTTCTGGATATGGACGACTGCTCACCCACTCAGTGAAAGGATTTGCATGCAGTCTCAAACCCACCCACGTCAACACATTCATACTAACATGCTCAAATACAATTGCATTCTGCACTTCAGGATCAGTTCGAATGAACAAACCCTATACATAAAGCAAAATGTGCCAAGTCTGGTTGAAAAAGGGATGTTTCCCATCTAAACTCACATTTGTAACCGCATTTGGCCATTTGACAAGTCTGTTTGGATACTACAGGACTATTGTACATATGCCACAGTAATACTTGCTGCATGAGAAACACAATAACGTGCCCTTTGTAGATGTTCATTGATTTTTATCAATAGAGTTCCAGTAATAGTGTTAACGTAGTTTTGAACCCTGAGGTACAATGTTTTGTGACTTCTCTCTGTTTGTGAGCAGCATATCCAACATTCAGCACTGATAAATATACTGTATATACTTGGTGATTAAGGTGTTTTATCAGCAAAATGAGAATGTAATGCAATTCACATGTTAGATCACAGAACATAGTAGATGTTCTCCCAAATATCTGGGCTTTTTTCTATTTTATATCACTTAATATTTATCTTTATAACTCTTTTTTTAAAAGGCAACAACATTAGTGATGTATAATGCCACACAGATAACCATAAACGTGGCACTACTACGCTTTCCCAGTCTTTTTTGCACTTGGAAGTAGCCGTCAGGATTCGCAAAAGTCACTTGATTTTCAGTAATATTGATCCCAAACTATATTTCCCATCAAATCTGATTTCAACATAACATATAAAATCATTTGTCTGCCTTTCATTAATATACATATAATTTTGTCATTGAAATGATTATAAATCTAGTAAAAGGGCCCCATATACAGTAACAGTAGTATACCAAAAATAATGTAAATATGATTTCTATTCATTAATTGATATATTTTTTATTGTGTGTCATTTTAATTGATTATCTAGGGGCATTGATGCGAATGAATAAAAGGAAAATGAATGGAATTATAAAAGACTTTAACTAGAATGTTTCTCTACCTGTAACTGGGTGGATTTATGTGGTGTTTTGTTGTTCCAGAATCTATAATAAGGTCAATTCTCCATGCCGCTATATTGTAACTGTATTAATGACAGATACATTTCGCAGCGCATGGCGTAATTTGTCCCTTCAAAGAACTGAAGCAGATTCATTTTAGAAGATTTCCCTCAGGTAATATATTTAGTCAAACATCTCCCACTTTATCACTGTTTTATTCATACTGGATAATGACCACTGTAAGTGACAGATTTACTATTGGGAGTGAATTTGTGTTTTAAACGTCCCAGACATGCTTACTATTTCCTTGGCTTTTCTTTTATTTACATGTACCTGTGCCATCACCCTGCAGTTTTCCTTTGTACCGAGTGAAACGCAGCAGACTAACAAACCAATTTGGATGTAAACTACTGAACGTCACTTAAAAAATATTCTTGGTTTCAAGAATCTGTACAAAACGTCTACCTTGTAATGTCAGCTGCAGTAATTTATCACAACGAGATACGCCATATTTTATACTTGCATCTTTTGTTTTAAATTGAGACAAAAGCAATGTTGTATCACTTATATATAAGTGATACAACATTGCTTTTGTCTCAATTGATTGAGTATACTGTAGGTGTGCTCATAGTGTTTTGTTTTGTCATGAATGTTGCATTTTATGTCACTTTATTGTAATATTTTTCTACAACTAATCTTTAATCTACAAATGCATAGTCAATATACTAACAAATTCAATCCAGGCGCTAACTGCCATCTGTGCTTATCTAATATAAACCGCAACAGATGATTTTGAGATTGCATCCGTGTTTTTCAGAGCATCTTTTGGGTGTTTGTACCGCAGTGGGAATTATTTTAATCAGGCAGACAGAGAACCGTAATGGCGTGAGAGAGATGTTTGACCTTATCTTGGGTGACCTCAGGGTTTTGTAACTATAACATCTACTGTGCAATATATAGTACGAGATCGGTTCAGGTGCTATGGACATATCTGCCAAGAACATACTCTGTAAGCCAGAAAATATGAAAGCTCTTGCTGGTGCAGTGCATTAGGGAAAAAAAACTAGCAAAATTCCTGCTTTTACACTGGCCCGCTAACATTGTATGATATAGGCCTACCTTAGGGCCAGCTTCATGTGGCATGATAGCAGGTAAAAAAAAAAAAGTCATTTTAATAACAGAACAGCTGTCAACTATATAGTCTGCGAATACTTATTTACTGGACCAAATTCCTCAATATCTGATCAGTTTAACAAGAACCCAGTGTTGGACATGTATCTATTTTCATGTATGAATGTTGTGAATGTGCCGTGTCTTGCTGTAAAATGCTATAGCTTCACTCGTCTTCTCACTGTGAATGTTGAAATGATTAAGCTGTATGTGAGAGTATCTGTGTTATCTGTAATGTTCACCCTCACTGTGTGCTTCACCTCCCTGCCTCTATCTGAGTTTACACCAATTTGCACACTAATAAATGTTGTTTATAATTCCCCCCTCCCCCTAGAGTCATGGTTGCAGCATTCAGTGCACTAATAATTGAAGCATGTTAAAGGGTTAGTTCACCCAAAAATGGAAATTTTGTCATCACTTGCTCACCCTCAAGTTGTTCCAAACCTGTATTAGTTTCTCTCTTTGAAGAATGTTGGTAATCAGTTGACGGTAGCCATTGACTTTTATAGTAGTAAAAAAAAAAAATTCCTATGGAAGTCAATGGGCTACTGTCAACTGTCTGGTTACCAACTTTTTTTTTTTTTATAATATATTCTTTTGTGTTCAACAGAAGAAAGAAACTCATACAGGTTTTAAGGTAAGTGATGACAACATTTTCATTTTTGGGTGAACTATCCTTTAATCTCAAATGTGTCCAGGTCGCATTTCACACCAAAATAATTAAAGAAAATAAATGAAAGAAAATCATGTATACGGATGGAACTTTTTTTGCATTGTTACATTATCTTCAGGACAATTAAGCACATTTCCCCCATTCGTTATAATAACGCATCTAGTACGGTCTCGTTTTTAATGAGAAGTTTTGATGCTTTTTTTTTTAGGTTTTGAAATTATTTTTTCAATAATAAATGTTTCAGATTAAAGCAGTACTTACTACAGCCTGTCAATTCATATTTCTATAACATGAAAGAAAAAAATATTCATACATAAATGAAATTATTGTAGCATTTGTTGTACTACCTTTAATTAAAAAAATGCAAACCAGTATTTCTTACTGTAAGTCACATACTGTAAATATAAATATAATTTACAACGCAAAAATTCTAATGGTCCTCGAAGTAGAACATAACCCTGATTTTTATGCAATTATTTTTCCTTTAAGTTTTGTTAATATGTGACAGCACTAAATGACACTGGATATGTGTATAATTTTTTTATTTAAGTTAATTATTTCCCGTCATTCAAACTTTTGCAATATCTATAAAACAATGAACAAACACAAGCGCTGTACAGTTGACCAAATCACTATAACTGCAACTGAATGTGTAAATGTACATGCATGGACATACATACTGTATATACACACATATACACTACAACTGTTGACCCCATGCTGTTTCCTTTGCCGTTTAATGCAACATCAAGATCTTCCTAAAATTGGCTTTCGAGGAAACTAAAGAGACAAAAAAAGGTGGGGTCACGTCCTTCATTTACTAAAAATGAAACAGTCCTAGTCTGGAGAAGAAGTGTTTCCATATTCAATCAAACAGCAACTGACTTTGGCACACTGTGCTATGTAAACATTTCCTCCAATTCATAGATTAGCCATCATATATTGCTCCAAATTTGGCTGTGTTCTTAAAAAAAAAAAAAAGAATTGTTCAAAGCCCAAACTTTAAACCATTTCATAGGCCTCTCCTTTTAATGGAGAAAGGTGGTGTGATTCGCTATGGCAAAAGTGCAGTCCACATCTACACCTGCTTTCCAGTCTAGCAGACTCATCTGTCTACAGGAAACCTGATGACGCCACAGAACACGGACAATAAAATACAGGTAAGGTGGACTGGTTTTCTTCCTCGTGTTTCTGTTGCGGTCTTCATGCTCACTAATGGAGAACTGCGATTCTGGGACAACACAGGGTGGTGCAGACGAATCAAACATATACAAGTCTAAGATTAACATAACACTTACTGCTGATACATGAGGAGAGCTGACCGAAAGGCAGTCAGGGACTCATTTAGTCTGGATTTCCTAGCCTACAATAAGTTAGTCAGAATGCTACGGCGTTATACATGAAAGGTAGGTGGGTTAACTGATTCGGTTTCACATATCACAGGCTTCTTTGTCTGTTGGATTTACAGTAATAAGTTCTGTTAAGATCAACTTAAGTACCACAATAATTTACAAGGTTTGGATGTGAAAAAGTATTTCGGGTGATGAATTAATTGGTTATTAAAAAGGACACACACAAACAAACAAACCGTGTTGCGTTTCTCCATTGTGAGTCCATATACTTCTCAAATGCGCATTTTGAAAGCTGCTTAGAAACACACTCGCGCACAAAAAGACCCCTCACATTTTCTTTACAGTATCATGGATAACAAAGGCAGTAACTTTTAACCATGAAAAGAAGAATGAGGATGCTCAAGTAATGACATAATGCGCCAGGTTTGGCCAAAGCTGCTGAGGATCATGACTGATCTTGAGAATAAAACATCCAGGACTTTGAGGCAGGAAAGGGGACTTTCCAATGCCCATGTTATGATCCAGAACACGTACTGCACAAAGTCAAAAGAAATCATGGAAGATGAGGAGTAATACACACATCCACCTTTGCTCAAAACCTAAAGACAGGAGCAAAGCTTCAGATCAGCCTCTGCTTGGAATTACCAGGTTGTTACCATGATTATTGTACATAATACACTTGGCGACGTAAATAAAGGCTACATAGAATTAAGGAATAAATGATTACTGAGAAAAATGTGGCTGAGAAACATTTGTTTTGTGTTTGAAGAAGTTTTAGATTTGTTAGCAGCCAGTGCTACAGTATGTGAATCCAGCAGTCACGTTCTGTACAATGCCTCGGTTCTCCTTCAGAACACACCAGGGGCCCTTACGGAAAGCGGGATGAATCTTTACACATTGCACCTTTAAACAGAAAAAGACAGATTGACAATTTAATAAAAACAAGAAAACAACAAAAATGGTCTCGATTTTTTTTCCTGCTTCCTGTATCACGCCGTGAGCTGTCCTCCACAGTCGAAGTGTGTCCGTGTCGGTGCGCGCAATAAATGAGTCCTCCCCTCAATCCCATGAGCCCTCAAATTAAACCAAACCCAAACTACAACAGTCTTGAAATCCAGTCCGATCACAGCGCAGGAAGGGAGCCTCCATAAAACGTCATTTACATTCAACAATATTGGTAACATGACTACAAAAATAAAAGAACAATGGATGTCTATTGTAAAAAAGAAAATGTGCTGGAATAAGAAAATGAGACATGAAAAGGCAAAAAATGAGAAAAGACCAAAAAAAAAAAAAAAAAGGATCCTTTGCATCGGAAAATGGGAAGAAAAACTCCAAAAATGGATCCGATAAAGTTTAGACACTTAAGATTCACTTTCCAAGAGCTGGACAACAGATGAAACAGTGAGGTATATAGTTAGATGGAAATAGTCATCATCATCTTGTTTGTGTTTTCATTGCCCCGTGGCCCTTGAGGACCACCAGACCGCACCGTGGCGGCCCCGAGTCTGTATCTGGGCAGCGATTATCTCTGAGGGGCGAGTGCGTGCCCGAGGGCGAGAAGGGGAGGGCGGTGTCGAGCTACGGCTGCAGGTTGAGAGTGAACTTCCACTGCTGGGTGAGCGACGGGCTGCACACCTCCACCGTCAGACCGCCGTTCCGTGCATTCCGGCTGTCCAGGCACAGATTGCTGCCAACGTGCCGCAGTTTGGAGTTGTTGTCGATCTGCTCCCATTTCTGCAACAGAAAAATAATGAGGATGATGTTGAAAATCAGAGTAGCAGCACTTCCTCCAAACCCCTGCTTTGAGCACAGCATGCTCACCTGTCTGCTGTCATTCTCCCTGCAGCCCTGCAGTTTGATCTGTGAGCCAGCGGTGCGATCCACCACCGTCAGGCAAAGGTCCATGTGTTTGACGGATTTGTCTTTAGTCAGGGCCCATTCCTGTTTAGCAGAAACATAAGCAGGGAGCATGTGCAGTAAATACATTGATTCCACACAAATATACACAGAAATCTGAACAAAAACAGCTTGGTGAGATGCTGCTACTTTCTGAAATGCACATGGGTAACACTTTTGAGAAGTTCTGAGATGATGTTATACAGTA